GATTTAGGAGTAATTGTTGTTGTAGGAGTTGTTATAGTATCCATCATAGCTTAAAAGTATCTTCAAAATCGAAAGAGAAAGAAGAGAAGTTTAGGGTTTGAGTTAAGCTTGGAAAATTATGGTTATGACTTTATGAGTTTGAGAGAGTGAATAGAAAATGGAGAAGATAGAGAAAAAGGTTCTTGAGCTTTTTAGAGATTATATATTTTATTATTGTTTTTCTCATCACTTTTGTTTTTGGTCATACGAAAATTTTATTGAAGTTGATATATAAAGTTTGATGCGTCAAATTTCGTAATTAACATGATCGAGATACGTGTGAACAAATCTAGTTAACCAAATTTTGATATAAGTATATAAATATAAAATAATTTTTTTTAATTAGATTTAAAATTTTATAAATTTTTTTATCTATTTATTTGTAAAATAGTAAAACGTAAACCTAATTTAAATAGGATTAGGAAAATCTAAACCTAATTTAAATATGATTATAAGAAAATGAATTCATTAGGATACCACACTTTGAAGTTTTGTTTTCAAAAGTACCAACATTTTTCAAATGTTCCACAAATACCGTCATTTTTCAAATATTCCCCAAATACCACAAATATAAAATTGATTATAAAAGTTTTATAATTTAAATTTTTTGGTTTGAGTTAACTATTGTAGAATTAGGGTATAATTTTTTTTTTTGGTAGGGTTTGGGTTTAGAATTTAGGGTTTAGTTTTGAATGTCGAAAGTTAATTTTAGTTTTGTGGTATTTGTAAAACATTTGAAAAATTATGGTATTTGTGAAATATTTAAAAAATAGTGGTACTTTTGGAAATAAAATTTCATTTAGTGGTATTTGTGAGAATTGCCCTTATAAAAATCTGATTATTTGGAAATATGTGATATAACTTAATTGAAAATTATATAAGAAATAAAACGGGACAATTGCAAAAATTTCATTTTTGGTGTGCCACTTTTCAAAAATACCACAATGGACTGTCCATTTGTAAAAAATACTACT